CCGACCGACCGACCGACCGACCGAGTGACTGACTGAGTGACTGAGTGAGTGAGTGTGTAACTGACTGAATGAGTGAGTGAGTGAGTGAGTGAGTGAGTGAGTGACTGACTGACTGACTGACTGACTGACTGGCTGACTGACTGACTGAGCGAGCGAGCGAGCGACCGACCGACCGACCGACCGACCGACGGACCGACCGACCGACCTTACCGACCGACCGACCGACCGACCGACGGACCGACCGACCGACCTTACCGACCGACCGACCGTCCGACTGAGCGAGTGAGTTACTGACTGAGTGAGTGAACGACGCAGCGAGCTACGTCGCTACCGCGAGTTACGTCGCCATCTTATTGCAGACGGTCAGCCAGGCGGCGCTGTCGACGTCGGCCACGGATACGCTGTCCCTAGCTCCTGGTCGGCTGGAAACCTTCACTGTGACGATCACGCTGCCACTGGAGTCCACCTACGACGTTAACTTCGACGTTGAGGTGCGTGTCACAGGCCGTGGCAACATAATACCTGGCTAGGGTCGCCAGGCAGCCGTCCTGACTCACTCTCCGAAAACCTCCGGTGTTGTTGCACCGCCACGGGCTGCGTGTTGCATGTATGTTGCTGCGTGTTGCTGTATGTAGCTGCGTGTTGCTGTATGTTGCTGGTAAACCTGCTCTTCGTCAGAGGGCAAGCACCCCAGCCTCCCAGTGGCGGATCCAGAAGTGAATTCTAGGGGGAGGGGTGAATCATGCGAGCTCAAGGGCACGAATTGCTCTATCGGGGAGGGTGTTGGTCTAAAATACCCTTCGCCTAAAAATTCTAGTAGTGGGAGGGGGGCGACACCCTGTGCCCCCTGTGCCCCCGCCACTGCTGAGCTAATCTCGACTCAGAGAAAATGCCGAACGTACAATCGCAGAATCCCAGATGACTACGTTTATCGACAATCGTGGCGTTACCTACATAATGGCATCAAGCACTAATAATAAGTATATAGCATATATATATATATGTAATATCAAGAGCGTATTAAGAATGACGCTTCTTATTCTTAATACGCTTTTGGTAATATAGTGTACGGTTAGTTCTTGATAGCATTCAAATATACAGACACAGCCTTTGCGACGGGACGTCACGTGATGTCTCTTGTGCAAGAAGCCAGGGGACATTGGTCAGCGCTGAAAATGGGCTCAATCCATCGACAGTGTGCTCGTGCATAGAATTGTTTCATGTGATTTTTTTACTCACGCAGTAATTTTACACACGGGAATTTTTTTACGAGCGCGGTAATTTTACACACGGTGATTTTTTTACACACGCGGTATTTTTACACACGGGGATTTTTAGCTCACCTTGACATCGTCAAGATGAGCTATTGCCATGGGGCGTTGTCCGTTGTACGTCCGTCCGTCCGTCCGTCAACATTTGGCTACGGTCAACGATAACTTGAGAACTATTTGACCCACATGTTTCAAATTGCATACAGTTGTTACTCCTATGGGAGAGATGTGAACGTTCTATTTTGAAGCACGCCAGTCGACCTACTTTCGAGCCACGCCCTCTTTTTGGTAAAAATGGAAATGGCCATAATTAGTCAGTTCAGGTTCAACGGATTTTGCTCATTTTTGGTATGTGAATGAATAAGGAAGGACTGGCCCCAAAACATATTACACGGGTTTTTATTAATTTTTTTATTATGCAAATTAGGTAAATTTTTGCAATTTCACTATGCATTTCAGTGTCTGCCTACGGTCAACGATAACTCAAGAACCGTTTGACCCAAATGTTTCAAATTGCATACAGTTGTTACTCCTATGGGAGAGATTTGAACGTCCTATGTTGGAGCACACCAGTCCACCTACTTTCGAACCACGCCTCCTTTTTGGAAAAAATGAAAATGGCCATCTAGATTCATTCGATTTTGTTAAATTTTGGTATGTGAATGTGTAAGGCTATATAGCCCCAAAACAGTTGTTACTCCTATGGGAGAGATGACAACGCCCTATGCCGTTTATTTTGTCTAACTGGTTTAAAAGAACTCTACAATCATACCTACATGTAATATTGTGTTTTAGATTCTTCGTTACAGTAATTTTACTGGAATATTTTGTTTTTATTTGCGCGATATTCGAAAACCAAAATGGCGATCATTTAGGTGTTGCGCCATCTCTCGCCCAGATTTCAGATCTGAAACATTTATTTTCGCATCAAAAATTACGCATATATCATTATCAATACTTAGAGTATATAATGGGAGATATGCTATATAATGGGAGTTCTCCCATATATACTCCTGCTTTATATATCCCCCTCCCTCTTCTATCACACCCAAAGTGAGCTACAGTGTCATTTTATGATTTTATTTAGAACACTCGCTTATATAGTACTTTCGGATGAACTATGCACCGGCCTAGCCATAGTGAGTAGCGTCAAGCCACGATGGTGGTAATATTTGATCCTACATTAAACTAGTCCGGGCCAAACGCGCGTCAAATCGTAGCGTACAGACTACAAATTTGATCCTACATCAAATGAGTCACGGGTTGACTGTGCATGCTCATTTCAGCTCGCTGCGTCACCCCGCAGGCAGATGCTGTACTTTTATGTGACCTAAGTAAGGCATGCTTATTGCAAAATAGCACCGGATTTGGCCCGCGTGTTGTGTACAGACACAGCTTGGAGCAGGATATCGATAACTTAGTCCGGGCCAAGTTATCCTGGACCTGGCCCTCCTTCATTTGCGCGGCCAAATTGGTGCGCGCCTGAGCACGCATTTTGAGCGGGATAGCGTGTACACACTGCACAAATTTGTCGCGCGCCTGGCCCGGACCAATTTTATGTGGTATTTAATTTGCAGTCTGTACGCGGTATCAGTGTCGAACGCTGGTGCGTCGCGTTGCGACGATCGTAGTCGTTTAGACTGCCGCTCGATTCCAGACTCCGAAGCACGACACGGGTTCGGCCAACGAGACGCTTATTAACATCATCGACGTAGTGCCAGTCTACACTGGAGCGAATATTGCCTGCCTTTTCCTGACGTTCGGAGCCACGAAGGAGTTCTACTCGGCAGAAGAGAACTCCAACAAAGACCACTTGCTGGTGAAGTTCGGAATGGTTCAAAACACTGGTCAGTAGCTCGACAAACAACATTCCTATCATTAAATGTAATAAATACACACTTATTATTATATGCAATTAACATATGGCAATATAGGATAAAACAGTTTTTGTCTGATAGACAAATTCTTAGCTAACCTTTTCTTTACAACGGCTGCCTCCCATGTTATTTTCTTGCTGTCCTTTTTAAGTGCTAGTTTTTTCTCGTACTTTTTTTAACATTTGTCATTCATATTTTTTACCCTCAAACGTTCCCCTATATGCGCTTGCCTGTCACTGCCGTGTTCGCTTCGACGCATGACTGCAGCATCTTTTTTGTATATATTCTGCTTTGGTTCGGGTTAGGGCTGAAGCGTGGGTTAGGGCCATAATAGCACAGGTGGCTTAAAGTGATTACGTCACCGTAAATAGTAAAAGTAAAAAAATTATGTTCACTTGTTATGATTAAATTGCTGCATTATACTTCTTATTTTGCTATTCGGTTCGATGTGAACAAACACTCGTGACTCATACATAGCCCATTTAATGTCGTGATCAATATATCAAATCGCCCAAATTTTTTCTATTTTTTACTAGTTAAAAAACAATCTTATCCGGTATGAATTTGAGGATACATTTAGTGCCGTTAGTACTTACTTTTCATGTAAAAAATTGCAACAAAAAACTTTACAAATATACACCATTATAGAAAATTCGGATTCACATACTTCATCTGTGCGGCTACACTCTATGGCATCCTATACCTTCTGCGTTTGTAGGTTTAGCAGCCATGCAGGACTCGTACCTGGCAGGTGACAATGACGTAAAGGTAGATATCACAGTGCAGGCTACGGACAATCTTATCAACATGGACGCAGTGGCGGGCCGACTGCAGTTTGGTGTCTCTATAGGTACGCATCACGCTATCTGTCACCACTGATCTATATACATGATAACAACGGTATAATGCACATAGCGAATTATATATATATATCACAGTGCAGGCTACGGACAATCTTGAGAACGTGGACGCAGTGGCGGGCCGAGTGCAGTTTGGTGTCTCTCTAGGTACGAATCACGCTATCTGTCACCACTGATCTATATATACATGATTACAACGGTATAATGCACATAGCGAATTATCTATATATATCACAGTGCAGGCTACGGACAATCTTGAGAACGT